TTTGGGGCGCAGTTTCTTCTTCTTTTTTTTTTTGCGAGCCGACCCTGCCCCGACCCCCGATCTTTTCGGAATGAGTCGTTTTCAATGAATTTCTTTTGCCTGGGCGGTGTACTTGTGGTTTAATCTGGATATATGTTTGTGGAGAAGTGCAGAAATTTGTAATTGATCGGCTGCTCTGCATATCTGCATAGAACACTTCCAGATTCAGGTGCTTCGGGTTTGGTTCCACCAATATACTTGGGGGATTTCCCCCCAAGTAGGAGAGCCTCCACTGCGGATTTGCAAAGTTTCTCTTCACGAAGCGGGCGCCAAACTTTTTGTTGTTTCCAGTTCTCAAGGTTGGAGCGCACAAGAGGGCAGCTTCACCAGTCGTAGTAGCATCTCGTTGGGAAAATATTCCCTTAAATATGGTGAAAATTGTGAAATGCATCAGACCGCAACTCTGTAGTAGTTGGTGTGGAGTTGCGCTATTTCTGCCATTAGGCGAGGCGATAGACCTGAAAGGGCCGGTGGGTGAAGCCCGGTGAAAAATTACGGCTCCACCAATGCGCTTACCCTAAGTTGGGGAAATTCCCCAAAGTAGTCCGGTGGAGACAAAGTTGTCAAACCCTTTGTTTCCAGAAAAAAAGCAAACAATAAAGAAGCTAAAAAAAAAGAGAATGTGCCAGTCTCTTTTCTATTTTCTGGCACAGATCAGGCACAAGAACTGAAGACTCGCTTTGTGCAGGTGGTGTTGGGCCAGAACAAGGTAGCCACTATTCAGGGATTGAGGTCGTCATTCAAATGGAGATCAGGGGACCAAGCTGAAGCAGGAAATGAAAATGGAGACAGGGAATAGGAAAAGAGGCCGAAGGAGAGCAGAGTAACTGGGCAGGGAAGGGTTAGGGTTTAGGGTTTAGGGTTTAGGGTTTAGGTGTTCTAGCGAGGGGCAGAATAGACAGTAGGCTTTAGCGTTTAAGGACGACAGGCCTAAGGTTTTATCCCCTTAGAGATTCCTTTCAGATGCTTTTTAGTCCAGTTCTGAGTTTTTGAAGTTGCCGTCAATGGGACTCTGGACCCAGTTGCCAGCACAAGCCTAAGCTGGGTAACGGCCCCAGCTGTATCCAGGTTGAGATGTTGAGGAATTCCCAGCCTCACTGTTTTTATATAATAACTGCAGCTTGCTTTAAAAAATAAGAAAGAAAGAAAAAAAAGAGACGAGAGAATCACCTCCTGGAATGTAAGAGGATTATTGGACGTAAACAGTAAGCACAAGAGGGCCAGTGAAAGGATTTCACGCTGCAGACACCCAAGTCCCCGTTCCAGGGTCCCAAATTGTCCCAGTCCCAGTTGGGACCAGTCCCAGATGGTCCAGGTCCCACCTGTCCCGGTAGTTAGGTCCCAGGTAGGGTCTGTAAGGTCCCAGACTCCATGGGAAGTGTAAGCGCCGTAGGCCATGTTGGGCCAGTACCGAATCAGACCGGTAAAGGCCCTACTGGTACCCGACAACGAAGGTCCAGGTCCAAAGTCCAATTTTGTAGCCAAATCCCATGTAATGTCGGGAAGGTGCCGGGCAACCAAAAATCATGCAGCAGACAGGCTGCGGATGACCGGTACCAGTCAGAAGCAGACCAACGCCAAGTCGAGCAACTATTAATAGCTGCTACAGTGCAGCTCCCACATCTTTGGTCCTGCGTGAGATGCGGAGGCGCTGCTGTTGCTTGTGCTACCTCACAGCTTGGACTGCGCGCCAGAGGGTCTGTTGGGCGGTGCTAGGCTTGAGGAGGAAGACTGGCGGCCATAGCCGCTGTAGACATAGTTGCAGTAGGAGGAAGACAGATGTATCCAGGGTTACGATCCGAGTAGTAGCTAGCACAGACACACACACACAGAGAGAGAGAGAGAGAGAGAGAGAGAGAGAGAGAGAGAGAGAGAGAGAGAGAGAGAGTCAAACGAAGAGGAAGCTTGGTTACATACCTGATTGAGATTGTTGCTGGCTCCGCTGATGAGCGCTGGCTATCTGAACTCTGAATTTGTATATTATAAGTGTTCATTGAAGTTTCTGAGTTGCGCTGATTTTCTGTTCCATATCTGGTCTTGGTGTGAATCTTATTGTGACATTGTGCATGTTGTGTGGAGAGTGAATCTGAGCAGATCATTAAATTGGTATCGGAGCTGGAACATGCTGCATCCGCCGGAGTTGGGTGATGGCAAAGCATAAGGCCAGCGGGAAGCTGATTAAGGTTAACCATGAGTTACGGGCCAAAAGAGAAGGGCCATGTTGTGAACAAGGAGGAGCATGTACCTCCATGTTTGGAGTGGCATCAAGGAGCTGTATCGAAGGACCGTCCAGGAGTGAAGTGCTTCGTCCCCCTAAGCCGAGCTTCCATTGTGCATGTTGTGTGGAGAGTGAATCTGAGCGGATCATTAAATTGATATCGGAGCTAGAACACGCTGCATCCGCCGGAGTTGGGTGATGGCAAAGCATAAGGCCGGCGGGAAGCTGATTAAGGTTAACCATGAGTTACAGGCCAAAAGAGAAGGGCCATGTTGTGAACAAGGAGGAGCATGTACCTCCATGTCTGGAGCGGCATCAAGGAGCTGTATCAAAGGACCGTCCAGGAGTGAAGTGCTTCGTCCCCCTAAGCCATGTCGTTGTTGTTTCTGAATTTGGTTGTGCTTGAAGTACTTTCCCACTTTCTTGGAGACGCTGCTGCTGGTCAATTCTGCTGATGTCATCTTTCACAATTGTCTTTGAGTCAGGAACTGGGACCTTGTGCGTCAGTCCCGAGGACTGTTCTCTCCTAGAGGTAAGGCTCCTCCCCTTGTGGGGAAGTGGTTAGCGGTTGCCGGCCTACCTGGGGGCATGCGCACCCAGTGGGACCCAAACCCCGTGAGAGATCCAGAATCGTGATTGCTTTAGATCAAATCTAGGATAGAAGCTCAGCAGCTGGAGGAATCACTCGTAAGTAGGAAGCATGCTCATGAGCAGCGGGCGCTCATAAAACAACCCGAATAGCCCTAAGACCGGTACTGACCGGCATGCAACCG